ATTGAGGTCGATAATTGTCATTTATCATGCAATTAATTGATTTACTGTTTATCGCGACAGGCCTAGTAGATGTCTGTTGTGCATGCTAGCTTTTAAATGTGAACATAATATCCACCCCACCTTCCCCCAAAACATTAAGTATTTAATAGCTTTGGGGAAAATTGTGATTTGGTTAAATTCTGCCACAACATTAAAACCACATGTACATGAATCCCCTCTTCATCTAGTGTGTGCCTGTTTTGTATTTGTGAGTGGAGCTGCTCTTTGCTGCATATTCAAACGATGTTGAAGATGAAGACATTGTGTTTCTACAACACTACAATATAAACAGCAGCAGCTTGTGTGTGCACTGGTAACTATAAATTATGAATGCATAACAGGTTGAAGCAGAGCAGTGGAAACATCTTTGATCACCGTCTCCTCACACAACAATCTGCACTTAAAGTGGAGGAAATATTTAATACCACCTTGATTTTATAAGTCTGCACACTTACAAGGAAAGAGACACGCTTTTATTTTTATGGTAGTTTCTTTTCAAGTGAGAGAAACAGAAAAGCAACAACAACAACAAAAAAAAAATCTAAAAATGTCAAAAACACTCACATTACCTAAATGTTAAAAACTGATCTGCAAATCATTGATGGAAAGAAGTATTTAATTCTCTGCAACCCATGCAGATTTCTGGCTCCCACAGATTGGTTATGTGCCCAGATGGCAGATTATAAATCAATTAATATTTAATTTCAGACAACTCTAATCTCAGCTTGTTATGGTTGAAAAGAATGCCTGTCCACAGAATCTGTTTTTCTCCTGTCCAACCTCTCCACCACCTTGGGCAGGACTAAAGAGCTGGCCATGAGTGTCAAGCCCATGATAGTAGATCTACACAAGGCTAGAAGGTGTTACATTATAAGGACATTAGCAGCTTGGTGAAAAGGTGACGACATTTGGTGCATCTACTCAGAATTGAAGAAATAAAACAACCACCAGTCGTCCTCGATCTAGAGCTCCTTGTGTGAGAATGATCATGAGAAAAGTGAATATGCCCCAAACTACACAGGTTGTTGATCTGAGCCAGACAGGACCACAGTCACCAAAAACATCTTTAATAAAACACTGCATGGCAAGGTTCCATCTCATCCACATTCATATGTGGGGGTGTGAGGCGTCTGGGTTGCTTTAAAGGACAACCAGTCCCTGCAGAACCAAAGCAAGAGTCCATTTCCTCAAGACAACCTTGAGCTTGTTCCCGGGGCAGGTTGAACTCCACCAGGACTGTCCCATTGTCTCTGATCCTGTTTGCGGTGTTCATGGACAGAATCTCAAGGTGCAGTCATGGTGAGGGATGTTCCAATTTAGGAACCTCAGGGTCATGACTCTGCTTTAAGTTCTGCTGGGGTCTTCAAGCCATGACCTTATGTTCTGGGATGGTTGGCAGCAAAGTGTAATGCAGCTGAAATGAGAGTCAGCTCCTCTAAATCTGAGGTCATGGTTCTCAACTTCTCATGGTTCAGTTGAAATGAGCTTCCTCCAGAGGGTGACAAGATAGAGACACGAGCTCTCATGTTTCAAAGGGCTACTCCCTCAGGAAGATCAAGAGTGTGTCGCTGGGGAGAGCAATGTTTCCTCATGGACCTGTCACCGCTTCAACACCACTACAGAAAAGTGACTGAAACTGAATGGACAGATAAAAGTAGCTAAAATTAAGCTTAGTCTGTCATTTAGATGCCTGTTTTTTTTTTATGTGAATACAAGAAAGTCAACTATCTACAAATTATATATATTTCCATTTTTTAAAACTAGAAAGGCCATGTAGCACTTAAACAGCAAAGTTTCATCTTGTCATTAAATGTACACACAGGCACGAACACATAGTGACTGAACTCCAGTGAGGCTGGCAGGGAGCAGAGGGGAGTGTGGGGGTGGATGGAGGCGAGCGTTCATGCTCCACTGAAGATTCACCGCTGTAGCACTACAACTCAGTAATCATCACTAATACATAACATACAGTGTGTGTGAGTGTGTGTACATGCCAGTGAACACAGTTTCCATTAATTTACCTCAGAATGCCTTTGTCTTTAACTGTAGTGGGAGCGAGAGTCAGGTCAGGCCAGAAAAAGCACACTTTTGAACTTACTGCAGACTGAAGGTAACGTGCGTGTGTTTTATAAAAGTACAATACTTCAGATCTTACTTTTAATTCTTAATTATCTGAATTAAATAAAATCACTGTATTGCCACTTTAATTGGTAGTATGTGACTTATCAGTGCCGCTACTGATCCACGCTGCTGATCTCATGCTGCTGTACTCATCCTTATTCATTCATTCATTCCATCTGCTCACCACAGACTCATGTTCGGGCTGCTGTTGTTATGCCATATTGTTTTACATTATTAGTGTTTAGCGTGGAGCTGTCATTTCTAACCTGGGCCCGAAGGCCGGGCCCGGGCCATAATAATGTCCTTAATGTGTGGGCCGGGCTGGTCTCGGGCTTTGATGCAATTTTATGACTCATACAGTACAAAGAAAACTACATAAGAATGCACAATATAAAATTGTGTTAATCTACTTGTTGAGGAGGAGGCAGGTCCGACCAGCTGGTTGAAAGAGGTAAAAAAAAAAAAAAAAGTCCGGTTAAGCTCACATGGATCAGCTGATCACCGGCCGCGCGCATCTCCACACCTGCTGTCATCTACGTTGAAGGAAGTATCTGAAGCTACAAAAGCCGAAGCAAGAAGCACATTCAATTAAAATAGCCTCGTTTTATATTTTTCCAAATAATTTTACTCTAAAAAATATTTTTGTTCATCAGTATAATAGCCTGTCTTTAGAGTTGATGCGTTTGGCTATTTGTTTTGTATGTTAATATCCATTTGGTGAAACAATAAATCTTACATCTTCCTTCCTTTCCTTACGTTTTTAAAATATCATGTAAAACTAATTTGCTACCAAAAGCAGTAAAAACTTATAAAAAAAAAAAAAGTCTTTTTTTTCTGGGTTTGGGCCTGTAATTACAGTTAATCCGTTAATTTCAGGTCGGGCTCGGAAAATATGATACGGGTTTGAGCCAGTCCGGGTCGTATTTTTTAGGCCCGAATGCAACTCTAGTTTGGCTTATATCTTAGATCTTTTAGCGTATGGGGGCCGAGATGGTGTAGGGGCAGGGCAGCCGACTCGGGACCCGAAGGTCCTGGGTTCGATCTCCGGTCATTGCACATCTCGTGGTGTCTCAGAGCAAGATACACTAAATCCCCAGTTGATCCCCGGGCACTTTCCATAGCTGCCCACTGCTCCACCTGGTGGTGGATGGGTTAAAAGCACGGAGCCAATATCACCATTGTATTGATGACAACACATAAGACATTATTATTATTATATCTTAGATTGTTATATACTATTTCTTTTTACACTTTATATTTTTGCTATTTTTGGATGTAATTGGGGGGCAGCATGGTGGCGCAACTGGTAGAGCTGCTGCCTCTCAGCGAGCAGGTCCCTGGTTCAAACCCCGCTCCAGAGGCCTTTCTGGGTGGAGTTTGCATGTTCTCTCCGTGCATGTGTGGGTTTTCTCCGGGTACTCCGGTTTCCTCCCACAGACCAAAAACATGCATGTTAGGCTGATTGGTAACTCTAAATTGTCCCTAGGTGTGAGTGAGAGTGTGAATGTTTGTTTGTCTCGTTTGTCTCTATGTGGCCCTGTGATGGACTTGCGACCCGTCCAGGGTGTACCCCGCCCCTTGCACAGTGATTGCTGGACATGGGCACCAGCGACCCCCGTGACCCAAAATGGAATAAGCGGGTAAAGAAAATGGATGGATGGATGGATGGATGTAATTGGGACCCTGAGTACATAATTTCATTCCACCTCATGTACCACATGCGATGTGAATGACAATAAACTTGACTTGAACTTGAGTCCTAAAAGATCACACAAGATCTTAGTTTAAAGCTTTGGCGTGCAAGACAGCAGGCGATTCCTTCAAGGAATGCCAGGTGGTTTTCTGTCTGTAAGCCTTGAATCCAGAATATGAACAAAATGCTTACAAAGAAGTTGTGTGTTCTTTGTAAAATAAGTGGATGTGTTTTTAGACCTTCCATACATCTGCCTCTGTGTGTGAGCCTGTGGGTGTTGCTTGTCGTGGTCAGTGAAGCTTAGAGTTGGAGGAGACAGAGGTTTGATGGAGAGAAGCAAGTGTGTTTGTTGGAGTAATCAGCCCACCCACCCACTCACACAAACATCAGCTTGAGTTAGTTGGGGGAGCGTCAAGAGCAGCAATTGGTGCTGGGAAGTCTGTTTCCTCAACTAACTGAGCACCCAGCCCAGGCTCAAGCTATCACACGAAAACAGAGTGTGTGATGGGAGATTGAGAGGAATCTAAAAAGCACAACAGTGGCTTACAAAGAAATACAGCCAAAATAAAGAGAGGGATGGGAAAGTTCGACATAACAGATTTAATTATAGAGGGTATTTGAATGTCTCCTTATTTCTCAGTTTACATCCTTCTTGGGGCAGCACAGTGGTGCAGTTAGTAGAGCTAACTCTCACTGAACAGGTTACCCTGGTTCAAATCCTGATCTGGGGGCCTTTCTGGGTGGAGTTTGCATGTTCTCTCTGTGCATGCTTGGGTTTTCGCCAGGTACTCCTGTTTCCTCCCACAGACCAAAAACATGCATGTTAGACTGATTGGTGACTCTAAACTGTCCCTAGGTGTGAGAGAGAGAGTGAATGGTTGTTTGTCTCATTTGTCTCTATGTGTCCCTGTGATGGACTGGAGACCTGTCCAGGGTGTCCCCCGCCCTTCGTGATTGCTGGACATGGGCAGCGGCGACCCCCGTGACTCAAATGGAAGAAGCGGGTAAAGATAATGGATGGACATCCTTCTTGGTCTTGCATCAGCATTCTTTCATTAAATAAATATAACCCCCTTTTTTTTCTGTGTACGCTTGTGAACAAGAGGCAAAGGTTGAAAGACAGGACATGTGTGTGTTGTGTACTCACTCCTTTACATATGGCGACAGCCTCCTTTGACATGGACTTGGGATAGGACACATGATGCTCCATTATGGACTGAAACAACTCGTCCTCATCTTCGCCGTCAAACGGAGGCTGCAGAGGAACAGGAGCGAGGAAGAAGCAGAACAGGAAGAACAAACGGTAAACACAATTAGCTAGAAGAATGAATCTGGTCTGCCTTCTGTTATGAAGCGGTGCTATATATAATAATAATAAAGAAGTCACCTTTATTTCATATTTTTAATACAAAACAAAACCAAGTTATATATACACAAGTTAACAAATCACCCTTTACTGCACAATAAAAACATTTTAATGCAACTATTGAGAGTCTTTGGCTTATCAACTCATGGTAGTAAATAAAAAAAAAACCAATAAAACATAGACACAAACATGCATTCATGGACCAACCTGTCCGGCCAACATCTCATACAGCAAAACGCCAAAGGCCCACCAGTCCACAGACTTTCCATAAGGCTGGTAGGCTATAATCTGAAAGAAATACCTCGTTAACTTGCATTCATCCTCCCAAAATTGAAAAAGTTTCTTTAAAACAAAACCTAAAAGATATACAGTAAGATCATATTTAAACTCATATTTCAACCAGCCAACAACGATGAGCATGAATCAGCAGTGCCGCACTCACCTCAGGAGCGATGTAGTCTGGAGTGCCACAGAATGTCTTGGTTGTGACTCCATCGTTCATATTTTCTTTACACATGCCAAAGTCCGCTATCTTAATATGGCCTTCGCAGTCCAGCATCACGTTGTCCAGCTTCAGGTCTCTACAGAAAAATCAAGCAATGGTTAAAAAAATAGTTGTCAGTTTATGTGTTTTTAGGAAGCTATAGCTCTAGTTGCCTTTTGGACCTGTACTGCAGTTCAAGTCTAAAGCTAGTATTGGGTTAGTTTGTTTTTTTGAATAGCTAGACACAACTGTCTGAAGATAAAAGTTGAAAAACACACCTTCATCTCACAGCTAAAGTTTAGTCTGCTCAACACTGAGGAAGATTTAGGTTTGTTGTAAATGAGGATTCATGAAGTCTGTATTTCACCTGCAGTTGACAGCAATCAAAACTAACTCAGTTTGAAGAACCAGCGAGAAAAGTGGATTTTCATAAACCACGATTCAGAAAGGCACATTCCTAACCTAGCACACTCAAAGCTTAAACAATTCAAAACAGTTAAAATAAATGTTTCATTTTGGGTGAAAAACTGTTTGCTGGTTCTAAGCTTATCAAGTTTGCTAAGAATCTAAGGTAAAAGTTATTTTCTTCTTCTTTCAGCTTTACCCTCTTCAGGGGTCACCACAGAGAGTCATCCTCCATCTCCCTCTGTCCTCACTCCAACTACCTCCATGTCCTCTAACTGCATCCATATATCTCCTCTTTGTCTTTATCCTGGCTGACTAAGAGTCAATATGTTCATGGTTGTGTGTAAAACGTGGATAACACACACACATACATTCTTATAAACGTACTTTTTGGGACTTTGCATTGACTTCCATTCATTTTCTATAGCCTAACCTTGACCCTTACCTTAAACCTAACCATTACTAGTACATGCCTAACCATAAGCCTAACCCATCCACAATTCACACCTTAGTCCTAACCCCTAACCCCCAACGAGACTGGCTTTGGTCCCATAAAGAGCAGCTGGTTCCCACAACGCATGATTTTTTTTGGTAAAATTGGTCCCTACAAGGTAACCTGAAACAAAAATGCAGAGGTTAAAGAAGTTGGGCCTGTGATCAGAAAGTCGCCAGTTGAACTCCCCGGACCGACAGCATCAAAATGTGGGTGGAAAAGGAGACACCCCCCGCTTCCACCCTCATTTGCCCCACTCTGGGCCCTTGAGCAAGGCCCTTAGCCCCCACCATTTGGTCCCAAATGGGTCTCTCTTGAAAATGGGTCCTCGTGACTCAATGAGACTACCTGTACAAATAAAGGTTAAATAAATAAAAATAAAAATAAACACACACCTCCTCCTTTTCTCTTTCTACAACTAAAAGAGTTACATGTTTACAGCCTTTAAATATGATCCCAGCCATGTTTGGTTTATTATTATTGCTTTGCATTCACTTTGTTCAGTATGTCAGTGTGGAAGTGTGAAAGTTACCTGTAGATGATGCCCTTTTGATGGAGGAAAAAAAGACCAATGGCTATCTCAGCAGCATAGAAGCTACAGAAGCAACACAGAACCAACAGCACCAATTAGAGGAAGGCTGAGAGAAAGGACAACGGAGGGGCAATTAGTGTGTGAGTGTGTGTGAGCATAAAGGTCAGCGTTGTCTCCTCAGAGCCAGCGAGCAGCTGATAAGATCAACAAGAGGGCTCTCTACAGACTGACCAGGCAGTGAGCTGTTTGCATTGTTGCTCACAATCGATGTCTTTGTGAAGTGCACATGAAAAATATGTCGGGGGGGTGCGTTCTGAAACATGCAGAGTTGGTTTAGAGGTTGTTAGACTTACTATTGTTTTCTGATACGAAACTGGCATTCAGATGGACATTGTTACAATTCAAAATAAACATCCATCCACTATCTTTACCCGCTTCTTCCTTTTCAGGTCGTGGGGGGTCACTGGTACCCATGTCCAGCTATCACTGTGCGAGAGGTGGGAGACACCCTGGACAGGTCTCCAGTCCATCACGGGGACACATAAATGCAAACATTACAAGATTTTACAAAAAGTTCAAGTTCAAGGCAACATATTTAACTACAGAGGAAGATAAACAGACTGAAATCTAGAAACTCAAAAACTTTATAGAAACAATAAATCTAAAGCTGGACAATTTATTTTTTGTGCTGAGACATTTCGTCCGTCATCCAACGGACTTCTTCAATGTGAGGAGCCACCAACACAAAACTGATTCTCCACCAACAGCACACTCCATAGAGGAATAAAACAGTTTGCTAGTGCCAAGATGGCCTCTGGAGCCCACCCTCTCCTCCGGGGTCCACCTTCTCCCTCGTCAACTCCTCTGAGACAGTCATGTCAAAATGGTTCAAAACACCAAAGTTCATGCTCAATAATCCAGGTGTACAATGGCATGTCTATCTCAGAGGAGTTTACGAGGGAGAAGGTGGACCCCAGAGGCCGTCGTAGCACCTGCAAACTGTTTTTCCCCCACTATGGAGTATGCTGTTGGTGGAGAATCAGTTTTGTTTTGGTTGGTCAGACTGAATAAGTCCGTTGGATGAAGGACGAAACGTCTCAGCACAAAAAAAAAAAGAAACCGTCCAGATGACCTGGCTGAACATTGTTGGATTGTATACTTGGATTACTGAGCATGAACTTTGGAATAAATCTAAAGCTTTATATTAATCACTTTTTGACAACCTCTTGGTCAAATACAGAACCTTAGACATGTGGCATGGTGGTGCAGTTGGTAGAGCTACTGCCTCTCAGTGTGTAGGTTGCTGGATTGAATCCCAACCCAGGAACCTATCTGTGTGGAGTTTGTATGTTCTTTATGTGTGTGGGTTTTCCCCAGTTTCCTCCCACAGGTTAACTCTAAATTGTCTTTAAGTGTCAGGGAGAATGTGAACGTTTGTCTCGTTTGTCTCTATGTATCCCTGTGATGGACTTGGACCTGTCCAGAGTGTCCCCTGCCTCTCGCACAGTGATTGCTGGACATGGACACCAGTGACCCCACGACCCAGAAAGGAAGAAGAAAGAAGAATGTTGAGATAATGGATGGATGAATATGTTTTACATTTATGTAATGAACCTACACACAAATATGTTCTAAAAAAAATGCCTAAAGAAATTTGAAAATAGTGCATGTGTGTTTACTACATTCTTTGAAACAATAATTTATCTGAAGCTGCTAATAACATTCATAAGTTAAAAAAATAGCTCATTTAAATCTCAGTATTTGCACCACATGATCTCTGAACATGCTACTCAACAAACACGCTGTAATCTCTCTAAATCTAATTTAATCTAAATCTAATCTCTCTAAACCAGTTTTGACCTCACTGCACTGGTTACCAGTTCACTTTCGAATCCAGTTCAAAATACTCATGTATGTCTACAAATCACTGAACAGTGTCCCCCCCATCTCTCTGATCTGCTACAACCGTATGTCCCACCACGTTCCCTGAGGTCAGCGGACCAGTTGCTCCTCACAGTTCCAGGAACTCGTCTTAAGCGCAGAGGTGACAGGGCCTTCTCTGTAGCAGGACCAAGACTCTGGAACGAGTTACCTCCGCTTGTCAGACAGGCCCCCTCCCTCTCGGTTTTCAAGTCCCATTTAAAAACTCACTACTATTCAATAGCTTTCAACACCAGCTGATCTGTGTTTTGATCCTGTATGCTCCACACTGGTTTGTCGTCATTATCTGCATCGTTTTTCGCCTATATTCTGATTTACCTCATTTTGTATTTTGCTTTGTGTGTTACCTGTTGTTTTGTCTGTACAGCACTTTGGTTGGC